ACTCCAGTCAACTCGGATCGAGGGGGGGACACGCCCGCCACTGCCGTACCACTGGCCACGGCCACCCGCCGCCGCGCCTCCCTCTCTCCCCATTCCCTCCCTCTCTCTCTGTCTTAGTGTCTCCCCATTCTCCTAGGCCACTCCAAGGAGCCATGCCCGTCGCCGGCGTGGCGGCCCCTTCCCCACCGTCGGTCGCCCTCTCTCCCTATGGTCTCCTTCACCTGTGCCTCCCTGTCCCTCCCCTGGCCATCCGGCGGTGTGCCATACCCCTCTCCCTCTCTCTCCTGCTCCCAGAAGAAGCCCGCCATCGGCGGCCACCTTGTCGTCATTGGTGGATTTGGTTAAGCCCCAATCTCCCTCTCGTTGTCAAGGTACTCCCCTTGTCTATTTGTTGATTGAATCAAAACTATTGTTATTTAGGGTTAAGATGCAAAATTAGTTTGAATGGTTAATAATTTCTATAATTAGTTGGGGTCCCAATCAGATGAGATTATATAGGTTGTCCAACAGGTTGCAGTAGTATAGTAAGTTAGTATAGTTAGTAAAGTTAGTTAGTGTAGTTAGTATAGTTAGTTAGTTTAGTTAGTTAGTGTAGTTAGCATAATTAGGTATTGTAGTTAGTCTTGTATAGGTGTTAATATTAGATTAGTTAGTATAGTTATAGTTATTATAGGTATTAATATTACTATAGATAGTACGTACGATAATTTGGATGACTTGATGAAGTTTTCTCATGCTTTTGTAGATGGATTATTGTGTCCAAGTTTTTTACGGAGGAAGTGTTAGGAAAGAAGATGGTATGTTTGAGGATATGGAAGAAGAATTGGAATGGTTTGATGAACCTCCTAGCTTCAACGACCTTTGTGTCCGTTTAAATGCAAAGTTTGGCAGTGATTTCACGCTGAAGGGGATGTTTGATAGTGGGAAGACTAGGGCATACTATGTCTTGATGCCCTTGCGCGACTATGCTCACTAGTCCCGCTACAATAGGGTGATCCAAGGTTCTAATGTGCCCATGGCTGAGGTGGTGGTGGAGAATGGGTACAGGATGCAGGGTCTCGAGGACGGGCCGTCTATTGATGGTGTTGGAGGCAACGAACAAGAATTAGGGGTCGAAGGGGAAGCAACTCAGGGTAACATGGATTTGGACAGTCAATTGACGCAGGAGCAGCTTCATTCAACTCTAGTAGTCTGTATAAGCAATGACTTTGATGTGAACGAGTTCAAACGGGAGTAGGAGGAGGACAGGATCGGTGATGTAGTTAGCAGTGATTCAGACGATTCAGATGATGACCAAGGAGGTAGAGATGCTATGCCAATACTGGTTGATGCCATGCCAGTACCGATTCATGCTATGCCATTACCCGTACCAACTGAGGTACTTCATGCTATGCTGACTCAGGGTAGACTAGTCATAGATTTGCCAGAATATGATACCCCCTATGATTCATGGGCAAGAATTAGTGAAGCACAACAGTACGTTCCACCACCACCCTACACAGCGACAGAGCTTATGCAATTGAGGGAGATGAACATACCTTTCAGTGGCGTTCTGAACTATAGGGATGTCAGCATGACGGATATGACAGTTTGTGACACCGGTCTTCTGAGGTGTAGGAAATATTGTATGACCATGAGAATGAAATCCTTAGCAAGGGGATGATATTCAATACAATGTCAGAGATGAATCTGTTCCTTCGGGGCTATGCTATCTATCACCATAGGCCGTACACCGTCACTCATTCGGACTAGGAGTTGAGGTACGTACCACATGGTATGCAAAAATGGTTGTATGTGGAGGTTAAATGCACAAAAGAGACATAGTGATGGCAAGTGGAGGATAAGTAAAGTGGTCCAACCCCACACTTTCCTATCAAATAAGGGGAAGGAAAATCATCAGTAGCTCACTGCACGTTACCTTGCCTGTCATATATTGGGGCTCGTTGATGACAACAACGACATTTCTGTGTCTTCCTTATAACAGTCCATATTCAGATTCGTTAAGTATGATGTGAAGTACGAAAAGGTTTAGCGTGCTAAGCAAATTTCCTTGGCAATTCGTTGGGTAGCTAGGAGGAAGCGTACAACAGGGCTCCCCGAATATTATGTGCAATGATTACTACAACCCTGGCTTAAAATGGTTTATAGACACTGGAAGGATGTATTTCGAGGACCCATTGAGGCATGTCCTGCATCGTGTGTTCTGGTCGTTCGCGCAGACGGAACATGCATTCTAGTATTGTCAGCCAGTCGTACTTGTTGATGGCACTTTCCTGATCGAAAAGTACAGGGGCACCTTGATGATGGCTGCTGCTGTTGATCCGGAGGACCAGATAGTACCCATGGCTTTTGCTTTGGCAGAGGGAGAGAACAATGAATCATGGTCATGGTTCATGCGACTTCTACGTGCATAAGAGTTTGGCCACTATATGTTTGATCTCGGACCGTCACGTAGGGCTTCTTAATGCTGCAGATGAACAAATTGATAGGTTTCCGCCTCTAGTGCACAGATGGTGCATGCGACATTTTGCTGCTAATTTCTGAAGGTGTCAGAGGAAGAAGGAGGTTTGTGGCAAGGTAAAGGCTCTATGTTATGTACGTACAGAGCACCAGTTCAAGAAGACAAAGAGAGAACTAGACAAGATGCTTCTCCTTAGCCGCACCAATGGCCTATTCCAGGCTCTGAAGGGACTAGGCCATAGTTGGCTTTAACACCAAATTCACACATGACAGGAGGTGCTTTGAAAATTACCCTTTCTTTCTTGTTTTCCTTTGCCTTTGGCGGCTCTAGCCATTGATTCTTATGACCATAGAGCCACTCCTTGAAACAACACTTTTTCATTGAAAACACCTAAAAAAGGTGACATTAGTACATGAACACATATAGCTCAACATTTCAACAGATACACTTTCCACTTACTTCATGCTTGTTTAGACACACAAACTCCAACATATTCTTAGGGTTTATCATAGCTCGATCTCTGCAATTGCACAGAGGAGGTTCCTCAAGTCGTCTAACTGCGGCTAAGTACTTCTCCTTAGCCGTCATTGGCGGTGGTTAGGGGGAGGTGGAACCCACCGCTCGAAGTGCTCACGTGGATGTCTCCCTCTCCATCAATCATCGAAAAGGAGGTACCTTGGGTCATACTTGTCTGGACCGTCGATCTACTGAAAGAAAAAAAAACACCTCTCATGGTCCTACACAACAAGATTCCAACAAAAGATTAGTAACCTACTAACACAAATGAAGAAAAAAAAAGATAACGAATGAATTACTTACATTAAAACTACTGCATTTGTAGAAGCAACGTGCAGCTGTGTTTGGATGTCTCGATTGAAACATGTCGGTCGAACGACCAGTCATAGTTAGGGACAGGAAGGTCAGGAGGGATTGGGGCATCTTTGCTAGACGCGTCGGGGTACAATTCTCTACGACGACCCCATTTTCGTCACAACTGCTCCCGATACATGTCTTGCATCTAATAAAACGGTTGCAATTTAACATCAATCAAAACATCGCAAATTAATGTAAAGGAGAACCATTTGTATCACAACTAAAATAATTAACCGACACTTATAGGAACAAAAATATACCTTACACTAAACATGCTAACATGCTTCTAACTAACTAATTAACCTTAACATTGACAATTCTAATCCTTATCCTTGAATCCACCATTCAAACGAACTAATATTTTCCTCTAAACCCTAGATACAAATCCTAATCCTTAATTCACCGTTCAAACTACTAATAAGAGCATTGTTATCTTGACCGAGGCCGAGGAGAAGCTTGGGGGAAGGTATGGAGGGAGGCGGCAAGGGAGGGCAGGGCGGTGGCCGGGCTTGGGGGAGTTGGGAGGCGGCGGCGCGGCCGTTGGAGCTGCCTCCACCAACTAAGACAGAGAGGGAGGGAGCCCACGGCGCAAGGTTTAAGTCAGGCCTCGCCGCACCATGACAGGTGGCGCGGCAGGACCGGCCATGTCATCATCCAGCGAGGCGGCTCACTGCCACGTGCCCACCTTCGTCGCGCCGCCATGCATGGCGCGGCAGCTCAATTTCGCCGCGCCATGCGAATAGGCACGGCCATAAGTTTTAGTTTTGAAAAAAAAATAAACAATGTCAAATTTGAAAATAGTTTTAAAAAATGTTAAAAATAAAAAAATCATTGGCGACGAGGAGAGCAGGAGAAGGGGTCGAGCGCAGCCGAGAAGAGGTGATTCTGTTCATGGCGTCCGGAGTACTCAGATCTGGACTTCTCTATTCTCATCAATGGCTCTCAGAGATCACTCCAAAAGCTCGCCAATGGCGAGGTGTGCCTCCCAGCCCTCCTGCCACTCCGAGCTGAGCTCTAATCTAAACTCCTTTACCTCTTGTGGTCTAATCTGACGCCCTCATCTCAATTTTGCTGCTTTGCTGTAGTCTTGTAAAACTTCATGTTCTGATTTCAGTTGTGGTACGAAATCTAATTAGTTTTTAGCTCTAATTTGGTGCTTGATGTGATGCGGTTGTTAAGGAATTTTCTGCCGATATCTTAGTTCTGGGTTAATTTGCACACCTGTTTCCCCCCTTACCCAAACATCAGGTTACGAGGGAGTAAAATTACTTCTATTTTCTTGTGCACAGAAAGTTTCAGGTGTAATTCATTTACAGGTGTAGAATAATCCAATGTTTCCAAACAAGGCCAGGGGTCATCTGATCCCATGAAATACATCGGGCTCCGCCTCAGCCTCTGAGGCTGTACTTTTTGAGAGAGTGGACGTCTGAGCCTGAAGCTGTGGCCCAATTTCCCACGGGCCCTGCATGCAGGCCGTTGGTCCTGCGTCGCGCACACTCGCGCCTTGGCCCTAGGCCACCTTACTGCCACATAGGGGCCCAGCAAGATTTCGAAGACGAGGAGACCCAGCCCAATGAGCCGCCTGTAGTACTGTAATCTAGCGCTTGGGCCCGAGGCCCATCAGCTATCATCAATTTATCAGCATCCTTCCTTACTTTACTTCGACATGACGTGCCGTGATGCGATCCCGGTGGGCCCACCGCGCACACGAGTGGCTAGGAGTAGTAGGGCAGGGCATCTTCCTGTGGGCCTGCGGCTGGTGCAGGGAGAGGTAGCTGACGAGTGGGGCCCCGGTCGGTGCCTGCCCCGCCGCTCGCAGTCCCCGACCAAAAAGATGCCGCGGAAGGCCAGCAGGGAGAGGGCGGCGCGTCCATCCCACGCGATTCTCCCACACAAATACCACCTCCTCCTCCACCATTGCTTCGCCATCACCCAGCGGCTGCAGCTCAGACCTCATCAGAGGCTCCTGCCGCCCGCCGTCGATCTCGTTCGCCTCTTCCCCGCTGCGGAGCCGTCTCCACCCCTGCCCGCGCAGATGGTAAGCACACACGGCACCTCGCTGCTCTGTACTTCTGTTCACTGTTCATCGGCTACGCGATCTGCATCTTCGTTTGTCCGATATAAGATTCTGCGTGCGATCGACGGATCTACCATGCTCTTCTTCTTCTTCTCTTAAATAAAATCTCCTCCAGTCACGGCACAGCGCGTTGCCCGTTAGTCAGAGCCTCGTTTATTTAATTTATTACCCTCGATTTAGGATCACAAGCATAGATGAGCAAGTTGTAGTATCAAGGCACCTACAGTACTTGACACTAATCCAGCCTCCGACTCCGATCCGTCAGCTTAGCTAGTACAGCAACATTTTTCTCACCAGAGGGAGAAAAAGAGCGAGCGAGAATTAAGCGTAACATATCCAAGAGCTTGTGGATAGTAATTCATTCATTCATTCATACGTCTGGTGATCAGATCAGATGTAGTAGCAATACTTTTTTCCTTTTCCTTTTACAGTTTACATACAGTCTGCCATGCTGATGCATGACACATCCAAGTGCATGTATGTACCAAACCCAAGAGGAATTCCAGAGGTTCCGTTCATCACACTGTTTACCGATCCGGTTTGTTGCTCTTCACAGTCATGATCATTGTTTCATGCCAACCTGTGTGAACTCGCACCGATCGTTATGGTGTGGGTGGACATGTCGACGTTCTGCCGCCTGACATTCAGTCATTCAGATCCGCCAAGTACCACGCCTTATCGTGGAGTTCAGTTTATTCGGCAGCCGTTGTACTGCCAGTCTTTTTGCATTGCATTAGTTGTGTTGAGCTCAGATGAGAGGTACAGCTAGGCGAACCCAACCAACTTCACACGGAGGAAGATCTCATGTGTCCCTCCGAAACTACAGTTGGCCTGTCTGGTCCCAACGAGCTTATGGAACTACTTGTAGTCTCTTACATCTGCATCACACACGCCTACTGAAACAGAGAGCTAGATAGAGTCTGCAACCGCAGCAAATAGCAAGCGATTGTTTACTCTGTAATTTCAGGATGCTGCTCTGCAACAAAGCAAGTTTCTAGTCTGACTCTGAATCTTGTTTTCCTTTCCTTTCCCTGCAGGCAAACGCGGCGTCAGGGATGGCCGTGGACGACGACTGCAAGCGCCGGTTCCTGGAGCTCAAGGCCAAGAGGACCCACCGCTTCATCATCTACAAGATCGACGAGAAGAAGAAGATGGTGGTGGTGGAGCAGGTGGGCGAGCCTGTGCTCAACTACGATGACTTTGCCGCCAGCCTCCCCGCCAATGAGTGCAGGTACGCCATCTTCGACTACGACTTCGTCACCGAGGAGAACTGCCAGAAGAGCAAGATCTTCTTCATCGCCTGGTATGTCATGTCCTTCCCTCCCTCCTTGCCGCTGTGTCTGTCTGTTCAGAGTGCGGATAGATGCTGCTGGCATGTGCTGTGCCTGACGTCCATCCATGGCTGCAATTGCAATTGCAATGTGTGTTTGTGAAGGTCTCCTGACACGGCGCGCGTGAGGAGCAAGATGATCTACGCCAGCTCCAAGGAGAGGTTCAAGCGGGAGCTGGACGGCATCCAGGTGGAGCTTCAAGCCACCGACTCCGCTGAGGTTGGCCTTGACGTGATCCAGGGCCGTGCTAACTGAGAAATGGCCAGCAATGAACTGCCGCTGCCTGAGCATGAGCATCATCAGTTCAGATGACTAATGTAAAGGTTATGGGCTATGTGAACTGCACCCACTGGCCACTGCAGTGATGAATCAATCAATCTACCCCCTTCCGCGTGCGTGTTCGTCGAAGTTCTTGCTATAGCTTAGTCATGCTTGCCATGACCAGCAACTTTTTGATGATGGAATTCTAGTATCCAGAATGGCCTATGGTACTGTTTGCCTTGTGCTTTCTCAAAACCTGGATGAAGGATGCTAAGGCTAAAGTTTGAACATGACTTATCTGCTGTTGAAAACGACACAAAAACTTCAACTAATCAAATATCTTGTGGTGTATAACTTGAGTTCAGAAGTCAGAACATGCATCAGTTTCCAGAAGAGTCAAGTCTTAATGGTTAACTGATAGAGATGAAAGCTGGGAGGGTACACCCAGTATCTCTGTTTTGCTGTGCTTTCATTCAGACACTTACCTGCCAGACCAGAAGTCATATTATATAATCAGCTAGTATGCGAGTATCCATAACCACCTACAGCTCTACAATTACAACCAACAAAATCATGGTCAATATTAGGCAACAGCTGAAAAGCCATGGATTGAAGATAGATATGTCTGTCGTCCAAAACATACAGAACAGAGTCTGTCCAAAAATTATTTCTCCAAATCACTAGGCCAAGCTCTCAAACACCTCAAACGCACACGACAACAACAAAAACAGCATGCTGGATTTATTTATATACACCCATCCATCATATTTACAGAACTGAGGGTGCAGCTGCAGAAACCGGGCGCCTCTCAGGAAGCTTCAGCAATCGAGAAATGCATTTTAGCAACAGACTCACGAAGGAAGCTGCTTCCACATTTGGCTTCCTGACTGCCCATGCTATCCATGATCCCGGCCTCATGTTTGCTGAGATCGTCTACTGAAGACTGGCCACCAGTGGTGCTAACACCTTTCAACCTAACAAGTTCAATGTGTGTAAATCAACAGAATATCACATGCAGATGCGCATGACACCCAGAGACAAAATAGCAGTAAAAATACGCTAGCAAACATACCCGAGATCAGGAACCTGCAGTACAGATGAATTCTGGGTAGAATTTTGTTGGTTCTTCTTTGACTTCCCCTTATGTTTCTTCTTCTGTTTGTTCTTCTCCTTGTTGCGGTGTTTTGACCGACGCTGATAGCTGTTAGTCACTGAACGGCATACTGATGTCACAGGGGGGTCGTACACATCAGGAGCCCACTTGACGTGGCGATTTTCTGTTGGTGATGCTATTCCATTCTTTTCACGGCCTCCTTTCATAGCAGGGATGAGCTTCAAAGTTGGATGCTGACACATTAAAATGAAGAGGGCGGTCAATAATTTTCTGTTAGGCAACATAAATGACCACAAATGCCTTAATGTCTCGTCAATTATCAAACAAAGCTCCAGAGAGCAAATAGTGAATGTTCAACACATCAAGGAGCATAAACCAGTTGGTTTACATCAATGAAAAATAACTACTAGTTGTTTTTGCTGCCAAATTGCCAACTATTGTCCAGCATGCATGGATAGCAGATCAATGTTCGATACAAAAGCAAACAAATACACTTTAAGCGGTAAATACGGTTTCGCAGTACCATACGTAAATAAGCAAATCAACAGATTTAGTTCGCGCACATATTTATCGTCAGGCTTGTTATACCTTTCTTCAGTTACCACTTGCCAATTACAAGATTATAGCCTCCCATTTTTCTTTTAAAAAAGGCAATCAATAAAGACAGAAAGATGCACTGGGACGCTCTGGCATGGCATGGCTGCCACTTGCTAATATGGCCAGCTGCTGGCCCTATATCTCTTCAGCTTTCCAAACACTCAGTTAACACAATAACACAGAATAAAACCATATATCTTGAAATTAGTTCAAAGTATTATTGCATTCTGAAAGGACGCAGCTAATTTTGTACAGGCATGAGTGAATCATGGCTACAGACAGGAAAGCAATCATAAATCAAATTTGATTACTTAAAGCAGCTAACTAACACTAAAAAGCACTAGTTGGAATCCAGCCCGTTGTCAGATTCTGAAAGTCAGATCATATAATGATCACAACCAAAAGGTCCCATTCAACTACACATACTGCAGGTACAACTTAGCAATAGAATTTAAGTGAGCAAATAGTGACTGTCCACCATGTCTAGGACAATGAACTGGTTGGTTCACGTGAATGAAAAAGGCGATATGAGCTGTTTGTGCTGCCAAATTGCCGACTATTGTCCGGCATGCATGGATAACAGATCAATAAAGAAGCATACCATGACAATTTAACCGGTATAATACAGTTTCAAAGTACCGTTACATAAACAAGCAGATCAATAGATTTAGTTCACACATGTATTTATCACCCTGCATGTTAAACATTTCTTCGGTTACCAGTTACAAGAGTGGTGCAAACGAAAACGTCCGAGCCTTCAATCCACATGCAGGCCAATTGTAGCAAAAGCAAGAAGAAACAGTTAATTACATTTGCACAAGGAATGCCAGGTGACGTACAACTTGAAACGATTACATTTGAGCTCCCTTTTAAAAAAAATCAATAAAGAAAGAAATAAATATATGGCGAGATTGTCTTGAGCTTTAGCCACCAAACACTCAGTTGACACAGAATAAAACCAAGATGTCTTTAAATTAGTTCAAATTATTATTGCATTTCAAAAGGTGGTTGCTAATTTTGCATGAGCATGAGTGAATCATGGCAACAAACTGGGAAGCCAATACAAACCAAAATTTGATTACTTAAGGCAGCTAGTGAACACTAAAAACCCTAGTTGGGATCCAGTTATCCAGTCTGTTGTGAAGGTTCCCTAACTTTGATCATATGGTCACAACCAAGATATGTCATTCAAGTACACATAGAGCAGGTACGACTTAGTAATAGAACTTAAGTACAATAGCAATCGTTTCGTACGAATGGTAAAACAATTTAACATGAGGTACTCACAGGTAAGGACACAGAGCGCTCGTAAGCAGGAGCACCCGTGAGCCCATCATCCGCATGGCAGCATGAACCATCCTCCTGCTGAGCCTGACCAGATGAGGGTGGGAACGTTGCACACTTCTGGAGGCCTTTCTTCACGTCCAAGCTGATCGACTTGGAGAAACCCGTACATATCTGAGCCTCCAATGGAGCAGTGCCGCCTGCCGCGGACTCACAGGTTTCATCAACTGAATCGCAGGGAAGTGGAATACCAGTGCGGGGCGGAGAGTTATCGGCAGATGTCACTACTGGCACTCCTTCAGGACCAGTACTGACCCCCGCGGCACCACAGGTTTCATCAGACGAGGCGCAGTGCTTCTCTGGCAGAAGCGGAATACCAGCGCTGGAAGGAGAGTTACCGCCAGATGTCACTACTGGCGCTCCCTCGAGACCACAGGAACCACAGTCCATAAAGTGACTAGCTTAGCACTTGCAGAGTGATACAGCAACACTGCAAACGTAGAACCACGCTGCGCTGCTGATGCTACAGAAACATGGAGAAGAGCAGATGTAGCTGTTATTCCTCCTCATAGACATACAGCATACATCCAGATTTAGATGCTAATGCTAAGTGCGAAGGTTGCATTCGTAAACGTGAACTCCAAGCATAGCATAAGCCGATCCTAACTCCTAAAAGGCACGAATTAAGCTTGTTGTAGGCTAATACTATTATATTTGCTACGTATACATTAAACCATAATAAGACTATAAGAGGCAGGCGATCCAGGATGCAACCTGACCCGTATCAGTGTAGATCCGCCTCGAAAGCGAGCAACCGATCAAAACCAATCCGATCCAGCAGAAGTCAGTACCGAACGCGACAGACAAGTCGAAATAACAGGCGCGAACAAGGATTGAAGTCGCAGCAGGAGCAGCAACAGGGAGAGGTAGAAGGGAGGAGGGAAGGGTAGAGACAGGTAGATCAGGGGAGGGGCGGGCGGAGGCAAAGCGTTAAGAGGACGAGGTGGGGGAATGGGGACGCCAAGACCAAGGCTTGAGGCGGTGCGCGCAGGCGGAGGGGGACGAGAGCGCGTCGTCGCGGGGGAGGCGGCGCGGGTGCGAGCAGCAGCAGCAGCCCCGCACGCGCGAAGGCATCCTGGATCGGCTCCGCCGCGGGGCGCGGGCCGCCGGCGAGGCTCCGCCGCGGATCTGAGCAGGGGGAGGCGACTGAGGCGACCAATCTCTTCGCTTCCGCGTAGGACGGATTCTCTTTTTTTTTTTGACTGACTCGTGATTTTCTCCGGCAGCGACAGAACCTTAGAGGTGAGTGTGTTTTACATAGGACGCCGTGTGGATAAGGTGACACGTGGGGCTGCTCTGGGCCTTTTTGGGGGCGTTTGTTTTGGTCTCCGGAAACGACGCTTCACCGCTGAGTCTGTTCGCTGGTCGGTGCTGGTGCTGGTGCTGGTTTGAGTTGACTGGTGCTGGTTTTTTGAGAGGGAAATAATATTGACTGGCTGGTTTAAGCTGGTTCAAATCAGCAAGCAAACAAGCTGACTATCTTATTGGGCCCCTTGTTTTATCCTGGGCTGTGTTGGGCTTGCTGGTGGAAGCTTCTAGATGTCTTGTCTAGCCTGCTCCGATCGCTCCCGTCGCAGAATGAAAAAAAGTCTACTTTTCCTTCCTAACTTTTTATCAAAGTCCGTTTTTCCTCGCTGAACTCCAAAACTGAGTAAACCACCTCCCTCAACTTTTCAAATCGTGCGTTTTACCTCCCTGGAGCGGTTTTGAAGACGGTTTTGTCTTTTTCTTTTTTATTTATTTTGGCTAAATTTTTTAAAAATCATAGTAAATCACAGAAAAATCATAAAATGAAAAATCTAATTTTGTTGGACTCCACATGAGTAGATCTATATAGTAAATATATAATATGGTATGCTTTAGTATAAAATTTTGTTGTAGATTTAGATCTATGTTTTTCTATAATTAATTAGAATAATTTATAACTACAGCTTCTATG